ATACGGGGGGGGGGGGCTAGGGAGCACGTGCCATTTTTTTTCACGGGGTACTTTTTTTCTAAATGACTTTTTTTTTTTTTAGATATCCATTAAGTCACTCTGGTAAGAGTAAATCCTTTTTAACATGTTAATTTATGTTTTTAAATATAATTCGCCGAGTCTACCATTTCGAATCGGGGTATAAAAATGCAATCACGTGACAATTGATAGAAGACTTTTTTTTAAGAATTGACGATTGTGCTCCCCCACTTCAAAACCCGTGTCTTCGGCCCTGTAGATAGTTGTAATCGAAATGGATTAATAAAATAAAAGTTTGTTGTATATGTTTTTAACAGCTATTCGATCAATCAAGAAGTTAATTAAAACAAAAATTACGTTTAAGGTGAAGTAATTGTTTCTTGCGTACCTCAATTATACGTACAAATATCAATTTTTTAGACAATCCCTACTACCTATTTAAACCTTATTTTTTGCTTGCTTGTTCAGCTATAGGTTAGTTACGTTCTTTAAGACTGTTCTTTTGGCCAGGAACTTATTAAATCCCTCCAGGATTTTCTTTTGTGCTGGTGTATTTTTGCTGGATTTAAAAGCAAATTGCTTTATTCTAAATATAAAATACATGGCAAAAATACTACCAATTCTTATCTAGACATTTATTAATTCAGTTCTAATCTAGAAAATTATTATTAGTCGTTCAAAAAGCACAACAAAAAAGTAACGACAAACTGACTTTTAAATATTGTTTACGAATTTTTTAAACTTCCATTCATTTATTTGCGATGCTTTAACTGCTTGTAACATTTTGAAACAATATCATTGGATAGCTTTAGTTAAAAGTGGAATGTGATTGGTTAACTTTAAATTATGATAATTCTGCTGTGTTTAATTGAAAATTATGTTGCTATTAAGACTGTTTTTTGAGAAATGACGAATTTTAACTTCGGCTACGCTATTATAACTCCTTGTGGAAACTGAAATCAGTTCTAAACTTGCAGAGGGGTTAATCTCCAGATACGAAAATTGTAAAAACATTATGTTAGTATCCGATTATTTTAAAAATAAAAGCACTTTTTTTCACGCTTCGAAAAAAGATATTTAAGTTTCTGCAGCAAAATTATTTGATCAAATATTTTCAACAAAAGAAAATAGCCTCAGACCAAAATTAGATGATCGCCCTAAAGGCAAACAAGAAGAGCCATCATAACCAACATCCTTTTTTGCCGAAACTCAAGAAGCTCTAATTCAAAACAAACAATAAGTTAAAAAGCCAAAAAAACAAGACCTTTACCAATCAGTTAAAAGCATATTAAGCAACTGGTGTGAAGTCTGAAACAATTTTGAACAAACCGTCCACAGAATTCAAACTATTTATTAGATAAAACTTGTTCGTAAAAGAATTGTGATAAAAATATTTTTAAATACTAAGAATTAAAAAAGTTAAAATTTTTTTAAAATTTGTAATGAATTATAAATTGAAATATATAATATTAAAAAAATAAATACAAGAACAATATTTACTTATCAACTTGATATTTTAATTTTTGATTTTATAACAAAACATTTTCAAAACTCGGATTTTTCTCGACTCCGACGGAGTTTTTCTTGATTACTCTCGACTCCGTTTTTATTAAAACATGATTTTAGGATTGCTCTGTTTTTTTTTTTTTTAAAAAAAAAGGTTTTATTTTTTTACCACGTTTTTATTAGCTCGCTTTCTTATTTGTTTGTTTGTCCGGGTGGAATTTTGCAACTCAATTTTAACCCACTTTTCGATTAGCTAGAGCTCTGAAACTTTTATTATAGCTCAGAAGCCGATGACAATGCAATATTATACTACTTTTACCATGATTTGCCGAGTTTCTTGAACAATTTCAGCAAAATAAAATTTATTATGGCGAAACTTTTAGAGGCGTCGCCGCAATTTGACGCGTCGCTTTAAATAAAAAATTTTTGAACAAAAAAACCAAATTTAACTGTCGCTGTGATTTTAAATGGACCGCAGCATAAAAACAAAATCAGTTGTTTACAAAATATAAAATTCCACCCATCAAAAACTAAAAAGAAGAAAATAATATAACAAATAAAAAAACTTTTTATAAAACCACGTTTTTGTAATGAACTAAAAAGTAGAAAATAATTTTCTCTTGTGGCTATAGAAATTTTCGAAAATTAATTGAGTCGATAGTAAGTGACATGAAAACTTTTGATTACGAACTCTTAATAATTACGATAATATTTGTAAAATTTTAAACGAAAAACGTGGTGCGCATCTTGTCACTTTAAATGATCATCATCGTCCTTAATTACTTTAACTATTGCTTCCTTCTTCTGCTCTTTTTTTTCGTTAAATGCGCACCACGTTTTTCGTTTAAAATTTTACAAATATTATCGTAATTATTAAGAGTTCGTAATCAAAAGTTTTCATGTCACTTACTATCGACTCAATTAATTTTCAAAAATTTCTATAGCCACAAGAGAAAATTATTTTCTACTTTTTAGTTCATTACAAAACGTGGTTTTATAAAAAGCTTTTTATTTGTTATATTATTTTGAGTCGCAACTCTATAGAATTAAACATAGAGGCTTTTACTTAACTCTACCGAATTTAACATATTCAAAGCCGACGACACCGGGGAGTGGGGACATTTCGAAACACTTGTAGTCGGCCTTGATACCAGCTGACTTAGTCGGATTGTATGTTTAATTCGGCGTTTGGGCGAAGGTTGGGTTAGGCGTTAAGACACCGACAACAAGCAAATGGTGGACGCGTTTTTTCTAACGGAGAAAAATTAGAGAAAGCCATATAAAAAAATTATAAATCATTATTATAAAACAAAATACTACTAATAAAAATATTAAAAAAAAAAAAAAAAACGCGTCAGCAAAACAATATAAAAACTAATAATCATTATAAAAAAGGAAGAAAATTTAGATTCAAGAAAAAGAGCTTTAAAATTAAATAAAAAAAAGAAAGAAAAAAAAGTGAACAAATAAAATAAAAGAGATGAAAATAAGAATTATAAAAATTTTTTTTGCTTGCTTTTACTACTTCTTTGTTGAAGTTTCAATTTGTTGCCAATTTATATTATTTTTTAGTTAAATAATATTTAAATATCTTTTCAATTTTTTAAAATATTTTTTACCGTTAAATTATATTTTTAATTCTATTTAAAAAACGTACTTTCTTTCAGTTTACGAATTTGTTATACATATAAAAAATAAAACAACATTTGTTTATATGGTTGATATTAACTTCGTTATAATTTATTATTGTTTATAAATTGTGTTATTATATTTTATGTACTACATAGTAGTATTATATTTTATGTTCTATATATAGCTATATATATATTATCATTATTGACAATAATATTTTTAACGATATAATTTTTAAATACCAATTGACTAGTGAAGTTCAGAAAAGTCAGGAAAACATGGAGATGCCAAAGAGTTCTTAAACATTGATGTATTTGAAAAAAAAAAGAAAAAGATATTACAAAGGAGAATCAGTTCAAGATTGGCTGCCTGTTCTAAGCAATTAAAAAGTTATGAATTATTGTCTAGACAGGAGTATATAGTTATGTTGTCGACAAATAGAACCACTTTAGATGTAGGATTGTTATGAAGATCATTAATATTGACAGGTGTACTATATGATGCAAGCTTATAAAAAAAAAAAAAACAGTATCCCAGACTTTATCAAAAACCTCTGGTATGTCAAGAGAAATACCCCTTAACCTCACCACCTACATATGCAAGATAGTATTTTTCTGTTAAAACAATTAACATGTCATCTATAGAACAAGAAGATTAAAATTCATATCGATTGTCAGAGAATAAGTTATTAGACTCAAGATGAGTTATTAGAAATTTGTAAACTAAAGACTCAATGAGCTTGCTGACAATAAAGAAAAGACTTATTTTTGATAATAAGTGGAGAAGTAAAAGTTTTTTTCAGAGTTTTTTAAATTTGGAAACACAGATGCAATTTTCCAGCAGGCAGGAAAACATTCAGTTTGGCACTTCAATTTATTTAATCACTTGGTTCAGAGAGTATTGAAAAAAGTTCTGAAAAACACTTTTCTAAGACTATGATAAGGATCTTGTCTGGACAACAGTAGTAAAGTTTAAGAGAGAAGTAACTTGAGCAACGGAAGCTGCAGTGATTTGGATGTCCAACAATGGATCCACGCAATTGGCTATTTGTACAAATTTGATGTGCATATACATGAAATGTATAATTGATAATTTTCACACCATATATATTTATTTAGTTTTTGTACATACATTGAGTGACTTAAATAGAGACAATTTGCATGAATTGTACATACATCAGGGAAGAAGTTAGGGTTGGTAGTAAGACTGCCTGCCCAAATCCAAACCCTGATTAAGAATACACATTTGGTATGTTCTGCATATTTAAGAAAATAAGAAAATCACTTTGCAATGACATCGCAAATGGAGGAAGTATTTTAAAATGGTGAAATGCTGATAAATAGAAGGAAAAAAAAAAGTTTATTTAAAAAATTTGTTTATTTTATTAAGGTGTCACTTCAATGACTAGTTTTTAACTATGAGTGACATCGAACCTTATTTTGTAAAATTATAAATAAATCTGTAATTTTTTAAATTTTATGGTTAAATAAATGGGTAAAAAAAAAAAAAATAAGTCAGTTGATGTATGTGCCTTCTTTGCATGTTCTCCCTTTTTGAGTCAGTTAATATATTTATAAAAAATAAGAAGATAGATATGGTACATATAAATAGCCAGTTGCATATATATACAGTATGCATAAATAGCTGCATCCAAACTTATAATTGTTAAATTGTTGCTGTTAATTTGTTATTATTGATATTATTTCATGGTATTTAAGATTAGTTGCACACTGTTTGTAAATGACTTTAGCTGTAAAATCTTCTGTCTAATAAAATAATCAATTTGTTCAATGAAGAACACAAGTTTAATTATTACTCATATAATTAAATTAGTTTTAAGTGTTTTTTATTTTTAAAGAAAGATTCAAAATGGTTGCAAGCGAGTGCTGAATTTGATGTTTTTGACAGTAATTGACAAAATCAGAAAACATTGTATAAAACCTTTATTTATTGAAGATAGAATCAGTGTTTATTCAGGCTTAAAAAGTAGTTAGCCATAACTAAAGTTGTTTGTACTAGCAATGTTGTAAACTTCTAGCAGACTATTCGCTAGTAAGTAAACTTTTGATTTTAATTCTTTTAAACTAAAACTTGTGTGAAAATTTTAGATTTTAACTTTAATAAACATATTTTAACACTATAAAAAAAAACACACTATATTTTATCACTATAAAAACAAGTACTTCAACAGTTTACAGATCCAGTTGATTATTTTGTTATTATTTTTTGTCTTTGACAGGCTGTTTCTCCTTTTGCAGGTTCATCAGGAAATATTTCACAGGAAGTTGGCAGCTAATAAAAAATATTTACATTTTATATTAAACTGGTCTATTCTAAAAACTGCACCTGCTTATAATAATGTTTCCGAAAAATGTATGCTATATTTGCAAGAAATTTTGAAATTATTACTCATATGGATCAAGAAAATTTAATAAACAAAAAATTTGAATTAATTTCAAATGTAGGAACAAAAATAAGTACTTTTAAAAAATTATTAAAAAAAATGACCAAACTAAAGTTATCCTTGTCCTTAAGAATTTTTTTTTGCAACTAATTTTTTAATTTAATGTAATTATTGTAACTTCCTAGTTGCAAAACAACGACAGTTGTTATATAATTAAGTATAATAATACCTAACTTCATGTACAGAATTTTTTTTATTTGGAATTTTTTATTATTTAGACATTCTTCCTGATGAACCTACACAAGGAGAAACAGCCTGTCAAAGACAAAATTAGTTGAGTGTTTTTACTAATTTATCATTGCTCTGCTCTTTGAGAACACTCTATTTGTAGAATACACTAACATATATATATATATATATATATATATATATATATATATATATATATATATATATATATATATATATATATATATATATATATATATATATGTATATATATATATATATATGTATATATATATATATATATATATATATACATATATATATATATATATATATATGTATATATATGTATATATATATATATATATATATATATATATATATATATATATATATATATATATATATATATATATATATATATATATATATATATATATGTATATATATACAGGCCCCTGTGGGAATAAATGAGCACGAGAGGTGAGAAAAGCTCTCCTAAAACAAATATGGCGAGCCATGCGAGCTGCTCCTCTAAACTGCTTTTTATGAGAACTTTTGATTTTTACACAAGTTTTCTGTTTATTTATATAAAAATAGTTTGTTAAATACAAAATATGGTTTTATACTTTTTACAAGCATATGTTTGTAATGTTAATGTTACAATAATTTACACATAATAAGCTTCATTGATTGCGCTGTGAAAAAATTCTTTAGACATAAATTTTTTTTTTTGCAAAAATGGTGCCTGTTTATTGTCAAATTAATTAAATTTTTTTGACTTTGCATTTTTCATTGTAGTTAAAATTATAAATATACTTTTGAGAGAAAAAAAAACTTTTGCGAGAGCTGTAAATTGCTCCCGTAAACCGTTTTATTATTAAATAAACCATTAAATTAAATTTAATGGTTTTTACATAAAGTGTACTTGATTTTGTTATCTTTAAACACAAGGAGTTGTTAAGAGCTGTTTTTTACCACAAACAATAAATACCAAACTATGTCAAGCTATAATATGTAAAAATGTCACACTATAATAATAATGATATATAAATAAATAAATATATATATATATATATATATATATATTTTTTATTAATTATCTTTAAATGTTCTAATAGAGACTTTTAATTTAAACTTTAGATGAATAGTATCGAAACATGTGTTTTAAAATAAAGAATTGGTTTATATTTAAAAAATATTTTCAGTTAGCAAGGCAACAAATATTGTATTTTGTTAGTTATGTATTTAATATATATATAGATATAGTTAAAATTTGCCAAAGCTTTATTATTGTTATTGTTTTTATTGTTATTATTTTTTTATTATTATTGTTTTTATTATCATTATTATTAGTATCACATTCCTAAAATATCTTTGGTTTGATATTTCTAAAAAAATACAATTTTTGCATTACACTTTTTTTCTTAGCTAATAGTTGTTTATAATAGATGTCTTGGTGTTTGTTTAAAAAAAATTTAGAATGTGTGGTTGTTTCTTCAAGAGTTGGACAGTGTACTATATTTTAACTGTCTACATTAATAGATTTGGTAAGATTTTATTTTATTTTATTTTTTTCGTAAAATGCTTTTTTACTATATAAATATAATAGTAAATGTATTAAGTTTATGTTTAAATGTTTAAATAATTTGAATATAGCCTTATTACTTTTTTTTTCTATTATTATTTGTTTTATTATTATTTCATTTTTTCCAGAGACATGGTGGAGAAAAAACTTAGTAGTACTTGTTTATAAAGCAAGTGCTTTACAGCTACACCATTATTACTTGTTTATTTACTTATAAATGAATGTTGTTATGATTTTTTAGCATTATTGGAGAATCGAAATAATTATTGCATTCATATGGATTCTGAAAATAAAAATGCTGATTGTACTCACCCTTTAAATTGTACTGTGACAGAAACTTGTGAAGATGAAAAAGCACCTTGTTTTACATTGTATATTCAAAATCTTTCTGCCACTAATGAAACTTTATTGCCACATTCCTCTGGATGCTGGCATCAAGATGACACTCATGTTTTCTTAAAAGATGAATGTTACCTTGAGCACCAAACAACAATACAAAATTTCATTACATATATTTGTCTATGTACTGGGCATCTTTGCAATAAAAATGTAATTTTTAACCAGACTGTAATGGTGACCAAGCCCCCTATTGAGATGGCAACAAGTAACATTTTTTGTAGCATCCTTTTATTTAAATTGCAACTTTTTATTACATTATTTTGTTTTATTTTAGAGTTGCATATTTAAGATGTCTAAGGATTACCTTGATTTTTAGAAGCTCGTCTTGATTCTAAGTTTGGGAGTTGAGACACCTTTAATCCAAAATAAGAACATTTTGTGTGGACAGTGAGACACCTTTAATCCAAAATAAGAACATTTTAAGAAAATAACATTTTAAAAATCAGGAAGAGCTTATAAAAATTTGGATAGTTTATATATAATAGTTTTGTAGTATGTATAGTGCCATATTGTAGGGATTATCTTTTTCCTGATATTTAAAAAATATTTTTTTTTTTTCAGATATCCAAATAAATTTTTAGAAATAATTTTAAATATTTTTTTTAATCCAATAAATAAGATAGTAAAGGTATTGTTCATCAAATAATCTACGCTATATTTATTTAGGTTGCACATTATATATATGCTTGTACAACTGATTTTTCCTTATTTGTAGGCGTATATTTATTATTTATTATTTTGACTATTTTACCTAAAAACATAGTTTAATTTACTTAAATAATTTTTCTATAATAATTTTTAATTAAGATTAAAATTCTTTTCTTTTATATAAAAGAGTTCCTAAACTTTTAGTTGATGTATGTACACTCCACTGCGCTTATCCCTATTTAAAGTCAGTTGATGTATGTACACTCCACTGTAGCTACAATTTTAACAGTCGATTTATCTACATATTGATGCACATATTCTATGAAACTTTAAAAAAAAATAATAATAAATAACAATAGTAGTTAAAAAATATAAAACTACTTGAGAACTTTTTTAAAAAGACAACTTCTTTATAGAGGATTCAAAAAAGTTAAAAAAAAAAAAAACAACTTCTCTATGGAGGACTCAAACTTGCAACTATATCCTGTCGTGCCTCTTTACTACTGTAAACACTACACTACTATTTTACTAATTTGAAAAATTAAAATATTTAAACATTTTTAGCGTGAAAATTATGTTAATATTATGTATATAATGTTAATATTATGTTGTATATTAAATAAATAAATTGTAATAACACATTATTAATATGATAACTTTTTTTGCATGCAAATTATGTTAAGATTATTTGCATAATGTTAATGTTATGTTTTTTAAAAAATAATTAATTTATAATAAGACATTAAATAATATAAGTTGTGCGTAAAAATAATGAATTTCTTTTCAAACACATGAGATATTCTTAGTTACACATTTTTATTCCTGGAAATTTTTTTGGATATTTCTTAAAAATGTTTTCCGATTATTTTTTGAAATTTTTTTTCCGGATTTTCAAAATATGACCAGGATAGTCCTTGATCTAGGCACTATACATACTACAAAAAAAATTGTTATGCAAATACTAAATATTTTTGTTTCAGTGCTACAGACTTTAAAACAGTCAAATAAACCTCCTTACAACTATAGCAAGTTTTTATACATTGTTGTTCCGTGTTTTGGTGTTATCACTATAGTTGGCATTTTGGTTTACATGTGGCGAAAGAATAAAATTATAAATGAAACACATTTACCTTTAATAGGTTTACCACCTCCTCCTAGCCCTCCTATCATATCTAAACATATTGATCTGCATGAAATAATATCGCATGGACAGTATGGTCATGTATGGAAAGCACTATATGAAAATAAATTGGTGGCTGTTAAAATGATGCTTCCTAGTGAAAAAGATTCTTGGGAAACTGAAAGAAAAATTTATTCAAATTATATATTACACCATGAAAATATTCTAAACTTTCATGCTGCTGAAAAGAGACTTGAAAATAATTATATTCAATATTGGATTATAACTGAGTTTCACCAACATGGATCTCTAACAGATTTTTTAACTTTTAATATTATTGATTTAAAAACATTAATTAACTTATCTTTAAGTATTGCAAATGGCCTCACTTACTTGCATGAAAATATGAAAAAACCTTCCATTGCTCATAGAGACTTTAAAAGTCGTAATGTGTTAGTGAAAGATAATTTCACTTGTTGCATAAGTGATTTTGGATCTTCATTTGCATTCGATGACAATGCTGATAAAGAAAAAGCTAAGTTTCAGGTAATTTTAATAATATTCATAGTATATTTCATTTGTATTTTTGTTAACCTGGTGATTTGATCTATATAATGTATTTATATTACATTTGTATATTTGGCAGTTTGATCAATTTAATATATTTATATCAATTACAATTCCCTTGACATTTTATTCAACTTTTTATGCTTTGCTTAATGATGCAGCGTTAGATGGATACAAAAAAAAAAAAATCCTTAATGTTTAAAGTGACTTATTGAATGTTTGTAGGCAGATTAAGCTTTTCTTTATTTAGGTTAATGAAAGAAAAAAAGGAAATGCTAGTTAAGTTATAAGTCTTACATAACAGATAGTAAGCATGTGTAATTAACATAACAGATAGTAAGCATGTGTAATAAACATAACAGATAGTAAGCATGGGTAATTAACATAACAGATAATAAGCATAATTATTAACATAACAGATAGTAAGTATGGGTTATTAACATAACAGATAGTAAGCATAGGTAATTAACATAACAGATAGTAAGCATGGGTTATTAACATAATAGATAGTAAGCATGGGTTATTATTATTTAATAATAACCCATGCTTGTTTCTATGTTGTTTAATAAATAAATTTTCCTTTTTTAAAAAATAATGTCTTGTTGATTCAGCCTGATTATATGCAGATAACATTAAGTTATATATCTGATAATGCAGTTATTTTTACTAACTACATACTGTCCACTAAACAGGCTTTGTAGCTGTTAGAAATAATGTGTAACACTGTTTTCACTTAACATTCAGTGGCAGTGATGCTCATTAGTACTAAGTTGTATACATACATACATTTTATTGTTTTTGTTTTATAGTTTAATACTCAAAATAACAATAAATCACCAATCGTTAATTAGTTTTGACAATAATAATATTTTGAATTCTGAAAAACAATTCTGGCAAATCTTATTTATACGGCAAGGTTTGTCTGTCAAACTCATGGTTTCATATGGTTTATTTTAAGTCTTTATGTATTTTTTAAGTAAAAGCAACAGAAAATACATGTCACTTTAAAAACTTATAGTTATTCACAAAATGACTAATAAAGTAGTCAAAAGAGTTATTTCATTTAATTTTAACATTAAAAAATTCAGTAAATTTTCTTTAATTTACTTAACTGTAAGTGCTAATTTTGATGGAAAATTTAAAATTTGAGTAGATAAAATTTAATATATAAATAAAATTGTTTAAATAAAAGCAGTGACTGAAAAAGAAACTTATTATTTGGTGAAAAAAAAAAAGAGTTTTTATGTGAATAAGATTAAAGGAATGTATTTTTTTTTTAATTATTGTTAGGGATATAAATATTTTAATTTTAATAAGAATTTTTTTTTTTTTTTTGAAAATCATTTAAATTATTGATATCAAAAGAGTTGTTTTTATGCATCATTTTGTTATATGCAAATAAGTTATGCAAATTAACGCATAGAAATTTTTTTTAATTTGATTGCCAATAAAACAATTTTTTTGTTTACTTTTTTTTCTTCAATTGATTGGCAACCTTTGATTTTTATTGTGAGTGCTGTATTTTTCCAAAATAACAAAAAACTTTATTTTTTTGAGTTTACATACAATAAATTGTCAAAAATGCATTCAATTTTCATACAATATAAAAGATATAGTTTTTTATTTTATTTTTTTTATTGAAATCTCAGAAATTTAGTGAGTTACCTATTCATGAATTTATATGAACAATTTACATAGGTTGGAACTAAACGATATATGGCTCCTGAAGTTTTGGAAGGAGCGATTGCATTTCGCACTGAGGCCTTTTTATGTATAGATATATATGCCCTAGGCCTGGTGTTATGGGAGATTTTATCAAGATGTGGTGAAACACAAGGTTTGATTTATTTTTTTTTAATCAAAAATTTTTTTTTGAGCTATTTAGTTCTACTAATAGTTTGACTTGAGGTTTTAATCAAAAAATGATTTTCGAATGAATTAGATTGTCATAGTAATTATTGTCATTTTTTAAAAATATTATTTTTTAAAAAATGACAATAATTACTATGACAATCTAATTCATTCGAAAATACGAATTGACAATTGTGATGTCATTGTGATTATTGACACTTTTAATGTTATTGTTATGATTTGCAATTGTATTGCCATTCTGATTATTGACAATTTTATTGTTGTTGCTATCAATGAAATTTGTGCTGTCATTGTGGTTATTAGCATTTTTACTGTCATTATTGATAATTTTAATTATCAGGTTTGGGGTCAAATACAAATATGTTAACCTTAGATTTCCATATACAAATTCAAATACAAATATATATGTAATCAACATTTTCCAAGCACAAATACAAAATGTAACGTTTGTTCAAATACAAAATATAACATTTGTTTTCAAGACAAGACTGAAAAATGGTCTACTAAATAGAAGAATGAAAACAAGTCTTCTAACAAATATTTCTTAAAAAAAAAACTCATGGTTTTTTAAAATAAACACTCAATAACCTAGATTATGGAATTGCAAATACATTTCAATCAAATACAAATATTAAAAAAATGCAATACGCATACAAATACGCCAAATTAGTCTATTTATACCAAATACAAATTCAAATACGTATAATTTGATCCCAACCCTGGTATTCTTTTTTTATACTTGATTTCTAATACTTCTTTGTTCATAAGATTCATGATTTTTTGTCAGTGCTTTTTTTAAATGTTTTATATTTTTTCTTTAGCACCAATTGGTAACTATCAAGCACCATATGAAAATATTGTGGGATTGCATCCTTCCATAAGTGATATGGTGGAGTGTGTTTGTGAACGTAAACTAAGGCCGATTATTTTACCAGAGTGGACAGAGCATCCAGTGAATATTAATTTATAATTATTATAAATTAATATAAATAGATATTGAATAATAACTTACCATTATTAATCTTATTAGCTTCAAAATAAAATTTTTATTGACATTAAATATGTATGTATGCAGCCTTCAGAATTAAGGTTGGTATTTGGCAATTCTGACCTAACTGTTGACCTAAAATTATTTAAGATCAGCAATAAATTGTTAGTCTTGTTTCATTGTTTTATGGTCAGATAAAACAATGAGACAAGGTCTTTTTGTCAGATTTTTTTTTGCGAACCTTGTGCCGACCTGTAATATTTTAATGTCAGCAAAAAGTTTTCAACCTTTGTTTTCCTAATTCTGAGGGCTGTGTATTTATGTATGTATATAAATGTATGTATGTACAGGTGCTATTCTAATAGAAAAATTTGGATGGGGATAGAGATGTGATGCGTTTTTTTGGTTCTTGTTTTTTTGGAAAAAAATATAGGGGTCCGTTTTTTTGTTTTTTTTGGGGAATATTTAAAAATTCATTGTTTAAGTTACTAAATTTAACTTTAATGGCAATATCTTAATTCATATTTTAATTTTTGATTTAAATAAGACAATAGATACTGAAATTTACTGAATTAATTTTTGTTTTTGTATATTAACACGGTTAAAGGTTAACACGGTTGAAGCAGTCCTGTATAAAAACTTCTTTGATAATTTTATCTTCCTCAATTTTATCTTTACTATTTTTAGTGTATATTGATACAATAAACATTATTTATTTACATTTATTATATTTAATAAAATTTAACAACTAATGAATGAGACTTAGCATAATAAAGAGTCAAGGAAGAATAAGTTTTTGTTAATGGAATTAGAGATAATAACTCTTTTGAGCAGCCACCATGATAGAATTTGTAGAAAAGAGAATGAGATGCAACTTTACGACAATGGGAAAGAGGCTCAAGCTTAGCAGATAGAGCTTGTTTAGAAGAAAAAGAGCATCATAAGAAGAACCAGCCCAAATATGACAACAACATTCCATACAGGGACCAAAAGATATTTGCAGAGGTAGAGATTGGAATCAAGGGTAAGAAAACGTCGATAATGATAGAGGGATGCTAATTTAGCAATCGATTGTATATTGAAAGGTTAGTAGCAAATAATATTCCAAGAAGATGTAAAAAAGAGGGCTCAGTAAGAGGGTTACCATTAATTAATATAGGAATGTCTACAGTATTGTGGTAGTTGTTTGCAATAAATAAATGAGTTTTGTTGGAAATAAAATTTATAAGCTAAAATATGTGAGCCTCAATCTGTGAACAGATTGGGGCTCACATATTTTAGAAGTCTTCTCTTTTTGATCGCTTAGAACAGGCAGCTAATTTTGTATCAACAGATACAAATTGGTGCCCTGTTCTAAGCGATCAAAATGAGAAGACTTTTTGACAAGACAGGAGTAAAAACTTGAGTCATCAGCAAAAAGAGCTACTATTGATGTAGGGTTGTCGGGAAGATCAATAATGTAGATAAGAAACAAAACAGGACCAAGAATAGAACCTTGAGATACCCCAGAAGTTACTGGAAATAAATAAGTAGGCCTTTGACGATGGTTATAATAAAGCAGTTAGAAAGAAATGATTTAATAATCCCAGATACACAATTTGAAGTTTGAAGTCTAATTTAAGTTTAATTGTTCAATATTTAGTTCATACTTAAGCTCGTTTTATATTCAACAGGTCTCTAATATTGTTTAAATGGTCCCTAAAATGTTTTATTAAAAAGTCAACGTATTACTCAAATAAAGAGAAATTTTATACAAATCTTTTCTGAATTAGAATCTAAAAATAGATTAATACAAAAAATAACCACACCACATTAACAACACTGAGTAGTGATTTTTAAAGCACCATAATATGTATATATATACATACATATATATATATATATATATATATATATATATATATATATATATATATATATATATATATATATATATATATATATATATATTATATATATAAAGAAAGGATATCTTTAAATTATTAGGTGAATTTTTTTTTTCTTGTTGGTAATCAACAGGAAGAACAAAAAGAATTATGATTAGGCTCTCCATACAGGGGGCAAAAATAAAGCCTTAGTCACCCATTTATTTAAACCTCTGAACCAAATTAGTAAAATGGAAAAAGATAAACAATTCTTTTGCCATAAGATTATGTCTAAAATTTGAACTTAAAAAACAGAGCATATTAAAGAATTTTGCAAGTGTTCTGATATAGTGCTTTATGAAAATATCTAGATGAATAAATAATGTAATTAGAAAAAAAAAAATGCTGTTAAAAAATTAATTACAAATAAATAAATTACAAATCATCAGGTGAATGGGGTCTGGGAAATTCCATAAATAATAATAATTAGAAAATTTTTAAATTTTCCTTGAAATTAAGTTCAGTATAGGGCTTTTTTTTAATATGGGCATACTAGCAATATTTATTTTTTTAATATAACAAACAAACAATGTAAGACTTAATTACTACATAATATACTAATGCTTAATTAACTTAATAATCTTGATAGATTGCTTTTTTTTTTTTTGAGCATTCGAAGTCTGATATTAAACTTGCATGGTATTATACATTTATATATATACATTATATATATATCACAGTTGTTAGTACAACAAAACAAAAAATAAACATTTTCATACAGTATGCCTAGATATATAACTAACTTAAAGCTAATTTAAATTTTTTATAAAAAATTCATGTTAAATTGGTGTTTATATATCTAATTGTGCCTTTTATGTCCAAATACTAAAATTATACTGTAGTAAAAGAAAACTATTCCAAAATTTATGTCAAAAAAAAACCTGAAAAATTGTTTAAAAAAAGCAATACAACATCAAAAAAACCAAAAAAACACCAAAAAAACCAAAAAAATGCCAAAAAAACCAAAATAACACGTTTTTTTGACCCAAAAAAATGCCAAAGGAAAAAAACACGTTTTTTTGCAACTCTAGATGGGGATACCCCCGTGCTGGCGTCTGCCATATAGAAAATTGGCAGATATTGCCGTATGTAAGTATTTTTTCATAAAAAAACAATATTTTTAGTATTTAAAAAAAAACAACCTCAATTTCTGAATTTGGGCGGCACCGAAAATGTATATGTATGTATATATGTAAAATGTAAATTATCCTTTACTTGACATTATTGTATGTACAAATTTTTTATGTATATATAAAAATTATGTCTTACATGTAAAAAAAAAAGCATTTGATTTCTTATGGTTTTTAGATTATTGTAGTTATATTTAAAATAGAAAAGCCAGGATTTTGCACGACATTTATTTTTAACCAGATTTAAAATGATTTTTTTATAGGCTAATTACATTCCAGTTAGTTGATTTTAACTCAGCTTTGCAGAGAAAAAAATGTTATAGAAACGATTTTGTTTTTTGCTTTAAATTTGATGAATTTAAATAACTGTTAACTTTTTTTCTGCTTTATCTACGGAATGAACACAACTTTTTTTCTACTTTATCCACGAAATGAACACAACTTAAGATAAGAAATATTTCAATTAAATTTTTTTGTGTCATTAAACTTCTTGTCACATTGATTAAAAATTTAATTTTTTGTGTTTGAGTAAAAAAAAAAACAGTTTTTTAAAATGAAAAAATTAAAATTAACTTTGTTGATAACATAGTTCTTTGAAAATCACTATAAAACAAAATATAATTTATCAAAAAAAATAAAAGCTATGAAACATAGATGAGTTTATTCAGGGAATTGCAGGAATTCCAAAAATTCACATTAAACTTTAATTTTCCAGAAATTTCCAGATGTTTTTTTGTTATTAATTTCAAAAAAAATTATATAAAATTTTAAATACAACAAATGTTTGCATTTAAACAAACATGTTTTCTATAAGTGAAATTTTTACGAGATCAATTTTTGTAACAATTTTTTTCTTTTCTTTTTAATTCATTCTAATTAACTTTTACGAATATTAGAAATTGTTTTTTTTAAAAAGTTAAATAATCTAAATTCCATTTTAAAAGTTTACAAAAGTTTTTTGTCGTCAATTCGATCAAAAAGTAAATATTATAAAGTGGAAGTTAAGAATTTATCTGACATTTCTGAGGTAGACAAAAATACTAAAAACAAGTTCCGCTGGAATTGGCGTCAATAGAAAGATAATGGTGAAAAATAGATAAAGCTGGAGCAATAAGTTTATTCCCTAACTGAAAATATAAATATGTAGTTTCATCATAGTTATATATTATTTGATTTTATGTTTTAGGTACGATATACAGTAAAGACTTTTATTATGGAAGTGATGGTAAAAAATCTTTACTTAGTCACTTAAAGTCTAAAATACATCATCAAAAACTGGGCAACGATTAAGTTAAACCAACCTATACCATCATCTTTTTGTACTAATTTAAAAAAAACAGATACACGCCATACATTGCCATACAGTACTCTGGATAACCTGCATACTGGCAGTACTTGTACAAGTAGAGTGAAGTCTACCATTAAACCTATTGTAAGTTTTAGAGACACAATCTTCCAATATCTTTATCATCCCATATGATTGAGTACGCAAAGGAAATGTCTAAAGATCATCGTGTTTTAAATTGAAAATTCAGAACTGCTTCGTATAAGCTACAAGAAGGGTTAGGCGAAGCTTTTTATGCTGATCTTGTTTATGATATGAAAATAAAAATGTTTTCCTTTAACATACACTAGTGCTTCTCAGCAAAAAAATGAGAAAGTTCTCAGTATACTCATAGCATGTTTTTGTGACAAAGTTAGTAAAATTATAATAAAACACTATGCATCATTATCGCTTGTTACGGTAAATGCTAAAAATCTTTTTAATGCTGTTATTCATTTGTTAAACAAAGACGCAATTCCATTAAGTAATTTAGTTTCCAATTTATCAGATTTTACCAATAATGAGGGGAAAAACCAGTGGGTTTGAAACAAGATTTAGGAAAAACCTCACTTACTTGATATTGATGATGATATTTGTCATCATGTGCACAATGTTGTCAAAAAGTTTACTTCTTTTTTCAGCAAAGTAGTTAAAAACTTACTGGATGATATCTACATTGATTTTAAGTTTAGCCCAGATCTTCGTACATTTCTAAAAAATTTTTGTCAAATCACAGGTGTTACATACAATACTCCAAAGCAATAGATATCTTATCGGTGGTTGTCTGTTTTAGATTGCGCTCGACCTATGCTTGAGATGATGCCTGCTTTTATCTTAATTTATTCTACTTGGTTATCAAAACAGGACATCTCTCTGTATAACGATGAAAGTGACAAAATTTTAAAGAGGCTATCAAATAAAAGTGAAAAACTAATAGAAAAAATAAAATGCAAAATGCAGCAGAAAAAGCTAACAAAACAAGATGCAGAAAGAAAAACAAGGATTGTTAAAAGTTTATTTTTCCGACACAATGAAACCTCACTTTATATTAATTTTTACGTTGAAATTCTTCCTAATTTTAAATCATTTATTTTAACTTTTGAACAAAAAGAACCGTTAGTCCATCGAAATTGAACTGGTGAGAACAATTTTAACTTGTTTTATTAAGCCAATTATGATAAAAAATATAACAGGAACAAAGTTAAAACTTTTAAACCTAAAAGATAAAAAAATGTATCACCATTCGAATTACATATACCTTGTAATATACCTTAATAAGTTCTAAGATATATACTATTTATTATTATTATTATTGTTATTATTAATGTTACTTATTATTAATATAAAATGTTATATACATTATCAAATAAAATAATAACTATTATTATTATTTTTATTACTTATTAACTTCAAGTAATAATATAAATAATATATTCGAATTACATATACCTTGGAAGTAATGCTAAAAAATATTTATCAAAAATAATTATTTGAAATCCTGACTTCAAATCATCATTTTTTAAGACTTTGCTAAAAGTCTACCGCAAGTCATCAGTTTACTTTCTTAACAAATTTCCTTTTAACAACCCTTTATTAAAATGCCTCTCTGTTTGCGACCTAGAGACAAAATTACAGAGAAAATGCTGTAAAAAAATTCCCAACTTTCTTTCGAACTGTAGATAAAAATAAAGTAATATTTATTGAGAAGTTATGCAATTTCAGATAGATATAGCGCTTCCACCCATATTTGCTGATGGAAAGCCCAATGTTTTGACTATTGGTGGGCAGATGTTTTTAAGTGGAAAAAATATTTAGAGCTTAGTAAAATTATCAAGTCTAAGTATATTCAGTAGTCCTCGCATTGAGCAAATAAAAAGACAAATCGTCTTGATACTTCAACATACTCAGCTATAGCTTCAGTTAAGTATCAATTATTAGCAAACAAGACCACAGTAGGGTACTTTAAAAGGCGAGATATATTACCTGACCCTGTTAACAAAAACATCTGTGGTCATTTTCAAACTGTAAGCAAACCCTATTTAAAAAAAATGAAATTCCATCGGAAAAACAGAAAAGTTGCAGCAGAAAGTTATAAGAATAAAAAGTGTTAATTTCTGAACCATTATCTGACATTTTATATTTAAAAAGTGAATAAATTATTACGCTTTGCAGATTGTTTATGGTAAAATGAGATATTATATTTGATTTTAGAGAATTTTAGAAAAACAATTATTCAGTAGTTTTTGTTTACTTTATTTATCCCTTTACCAATGTTCCAGAGTATACCCACATACCTTTATCAATTTGTTGACCATATAATTTTCCTGAATTTTTATTAAAATAATTTTCAAGGATTTTTATAGAAAAAAATTCCTGGGATTTTCATAAAGTCAAATACTCATCTATGAATGAAATAAAATATAATTATGAATGAAATTAAAATATAATTAGATAAATTTTGCAAAAAAAAAATTTTTTAATTAAATTTTTATAAAAAAAAGTTTAAAAGAAGTGTATTATATTTTGATTAGTCTTTTAATTTTTTATATAGTTTTGTCATTAATAAATTGAATAATAATATTATTATTAATAAATTCAAAACTCAAATTCAACATTACATACATTAAAGACATTAATTATTAAATAAAAAAATAGACATTATTATTAATTAATAAAAAAAGACATCATATACATTATTAAGTGAATGATTGTAACTTTTATTAAAATTACATTGAAGTTTGTATAACAGCGCAAAAATTTAACCACATTAATTTTTCTTGAGTAGTTCACTGACCCAAATTTCTTTTATTCAGGTTGAAGCATGTATTGTTTAGATACTATAAATAGATAATTAGTTTATTCTAATTTTGAAAATTTATTGGTAATCAGTATTGTTAATTTTTCTTTAGATTTTAAAAGAGTTCTGTGAAACAATTGAGGAGTGTTGGGAGATGGAGGCTGATGCTCGCTTATCTGCTTGGTGTGTTTATGAGCGTCTTGTTGAACAAGCTCGTAACTTAGAAAATCATCTGAACAATGATGATATCTCTCAATACAAGTTTTGTGATAGCAATTATTTATGTTAAAAATCTGTATAGCATTTGCCTATATTCTATGTGTTTTATTAAATTAGATGCTGTATATACGCCGCATAATTTATTAATCTTGGTTTTACCTACATGCAATGTAATTTATTAGAGTATCTAACTGGTTGAGTACCTACTTGGTTTTACCTACATGCAATGTAATTTATTAGAGTATCTAACTGGTTGAGTACCTACTTGGTTTTACCTACATGCTATGTAATTTATTAGAGTCCTAAAGTATATGCTGTTTTAATGCTGCATATTTGTTAAAATCTTAACAAATTATGATTAACTGAATGATTCCTAAATGCTACATAAAGATTTAAGTTAAATCCTATTGACATTTTATATTTATTAGAGTTTTAAATTAGGTGCTACATAATGAATGATGAAAGCTTATTATAGAAGCCACTTAAAATTAATTATAAATTATGTAGTACATAAATCTTTTTTATGCACGGCACTCACTCAGTTTGTTTTTTTTTTATGTATTTTTTATTATAATAATTGTATAATATTCATAATTTATTAAGCTTTATTTGTTTGTATTGACAACGCTTACTATAAATATAGCAATAAAATGATTGTAAAATAAAATTATTTTTTTAAGGGGGTTTAAATTTTTATTATTACCTTAAGAACATTAAGATGTATATATATATATATATATATATATATATATATATATATATATATATATATATATATATATATATATATATATATATATATATATATATATATATATATATATACATACATATACATATATATATATATGTAAATTAACAACTTGTTGTCTTTTAAAAGTGACAAAATCAAGCACACTTTATGTAAAAACCATTAAATTTAATTGGGGAAGTTAATTAAATTTTATTATATTTTAAAAAACCACAAAAATGCATTTTTAGTACTGCTACAAAACTGGAATGTTTGTTTTTTTTTAAAAAAAATAAAAACATTCTTAATGTTTTTATTTTTATTACTGTTTACATACATTGTTTTTATTACTATTACATACATTATTATTTTTTTACTATTTACATACATCGACTGACAAAAAAGCTTGAACATGGGAGGAGTGCTGATATATTGACTGAGTGTATTATATATATATATATATATATATATATATATATATATATATATATATATATATATATATATATATATATATATATATATATATATATATATATATATATATATATATATATATATATATGACTAAAAGGCGCATTTCATTTTCTTGGAAACAGCATAGCAGCAAAATATGAACTTTTACTTGTATTAACATAAAATATTAATTTTTTTTTTTCAAATCGAAAACTCCACCGGCACACACAAAAACTTTTCAAAAATTGAAAAATGAATGTCAACATTGAAAAAGTTGTTTCTTTGTTGTATTTTCTTAGCACTGTGTGGTTCATTAATAGGTATGATGGAAGACTTGTACAACTTTTGTTTCTATCGAATAAATCTATTTTTGAGTCCAATGGATGTACTATAAGATCCATCAGCGCTAAGAGGCATGACGTAGTAGTTTTTTCCGACAGTTTTACATCTACACCGCTGGGGTATTTTTTTTTTTATTTGGAAAAAAGTATTAATATTTTATGTTCATACAAGTAAAAATTCATCTTTTGCAGCTATGTCATTTCCAATTAAATGAAATGTGCTTTTTATTCATACCCCTGATGTATATATTATATATTATACTTATATCTTTTGATAAAATAAATGAGTGTGTGAGATTTGGTTGAAACAAGTGAGTTAAAATATTTATTATGGCCTGTAATTTTTTCTCCTTAAATATTTGACAATAAAGTTTTAAAAACAAACAGTATCTTAAAAAGATAACAATATTTTTTTTTTTGTGTGTATCATGGTACAGTATGTATATTTACAAAAGCTTTCAAAGAACTTCTTTATTATTCAAGCAGCTTAAGCGAAGTCTGAGTATGGAGGCTGCAAAAAAAGCAGCTGCTTATGAAGCTGTAAATAAATATGTCACTAAAGAAACAAAATATTTAGGAGTTGGTAGTGGATCAACTATTGTGTATGCCGTAGAAAGATTAGCTCAACGAGTAAAAGAAGAAGACCTTAATATAAAATGCATTCCAACATCTTTCCAATCAAGACAGCTTATTTTAGACAATGGTTTAGTTCTAAGCGATATCCAGCAGCATCCTGAGGTAATTATCTGTCATACTGTTTGCAAACATATTTTTGTTATTTTTTTTTTATAATTACTTGTTTTGTTTAATTACTGTTTTGTTTCTTTTTCTGAAAAAGTTGTATAAAATAAAATATCCAAAGATAGTCCACAAATATATATATATATATATATATATATATATATATATATATATATATATATATATATATATATATATATATATATATATATATATATATATATATATATATATATATATATATATGTATATATATATATATATATATATATATATATATATATATATATATATATATATATATATATATATATATATATATATATATATGTATATATATATATATATATATATATATATGTATATATATATATATATATATATATATATATATATATATATATATATATATATATATATATATATATATATATATATATATATATATATGTATATATATATATATATATATATATATATATATATATATATATATATATATATATATAATATATATATATATATATATATATATAATATAATATATTGTCGGGGATAGTGCAAATCCGCATAACTAGCATTGGATAATACCGCATATCTGACAAATGTAGCCAATTTGAGATTTCCAGGGGCAATGCACGCAGGATTCTAATTGGCAGCCGCCAATATCGAGGTTACTTTCATTTGACCTATAGAATGCAGGTTATTCCCCAAGAACAATATCTGGGACATATCATATCTGGGACCAGTAAATGTCAGTACCGCGTATGTGATCGGTTATCATCTGGAGTGTAACTGATATGTTGTTACGTGTTGTCAAATTCGGTTTATAAATGAAAATAATCAACACCATATCAGTTAAGTTTTAGTTTTATTATCTATACAAAAATGTAATAAAGAAAAACTTTTTTTTTTTTGTTCATTAACTATTTTTTTAAAACTCGTTTTACAAACAAAAACGTGTTTTTAAAAAAAGTTGCCTCGTTAAGTTTAATCGTTTTTTAAAAAAATAACAATGCGCAAAGAGAGAAAAGTGTTTGTTTACATTTTTGGTCGATTAATACTACTTTTTTAAATTTATTTTTACTATTTTTATAATTGCATGACTATACCTTTTGTATAGGATTAGTTTTCCTACTTCTAAATTCAATATGATGGGAGTCTACTAGTTTTGTTAATATTGGCATTGTAAATAACTTTAAATAAAATTGGCATTTTAAATAATTTTAAATAAAATTGGTATTTAAAAAAATTTTCAGTTTAAATTTCATCTTAGCCGTGCTAATGTCATTAGCACGATTTACCTTACAAAATTCAGTCATTAGTAATGACCGAATATTGTAAGGTAAACATTTTGTACGTTAGTTTATATAAATGCAATATTTAGTTTGAAATATTACCAAATTATATAAATCATTATGAATATTTTTTCTTTTTTTATATAGCTGATGCATTTGGATTTTTTTAGATTAGATAGATAAAGAGTAAAATGGCGAATAACAGCAAACTCTTGTCAAGAAGATAAAACACATCAATTTATGACATTAAAAGCTTTAAAGAAAATGACTGATAATTTACCATATTTTACTTCACCAAGTGAATTACCAACTTTTGACTTTTCAGTAGTTGATTCTGTTGTTGATCCAAATAAAAATCTAATCTCTGAAATAACAAATGTTGAACAAATAGCTTTCACTCAATCAATAGACAGCAATAACGATTTTTTTTAATGAAAGAAATTTGGAGCCTGAAGTAGCAAATCTAGGGAAAGGAAACGAAAAGCAGAACAAATGTCTTCAAAAAGATTTAGGAATAATAATTTGAAAATGCTAGGTCATGAATACACAGGTTTTAGAAAGACTTGTGGGGAAAAATTTTTACAAGACGCTGTAAGACCTACACGAAAACTTGGAGAGGCTTGTAAGTCAAACAAATGCTTACAAAGTAATGTGATTAACTGCAAAAAGTTTACAGAAAGTGTAAGATTAGATATTTTTAAAAAGTTTTGGGAGATGAGCTGGATAGCCAAGAAAATCTTTGTTTCATTTTTAGTTGATAAAAAATTCACTAAAAGAAAAATTACTGAAATGGCAAATACAAGGCGACGTATTACTAAAGTCTATTATTTAAAATTAGATAACAACAAAATGAGAGTATGTTTGAAAACTTTTTTAGGAACACTGGGTATTAAAGAGTGGACAGTTAGGCACTGGCTAGGAAAAAAATCTAATTGGGATACAACAACAAAACGTAATTATAATGCATGGCCTTGCCATTCTTTGAAAGAGTTAGTGCAAATATTTTTAAGAGTTATGCCTAAGTTGCCTTCTTACTACTGCAGAAAAGAAAGTAAAAAATTGTATCTAGAACCATTCATACAGTCTAAACGTGAGCTCTATTGTACCTATCTTAAAAATGCTACAAAAAATGGACAGAGAGTGGCTTCCAGAAAACTTTTTGAAGATATTTTGAAAGATGAAAACATAGCTATGTTTCAACCAAAGAAAGATGCATGTGATCTATGTTGTTCATATAAAACAGGAAATATTACAGAGCAAGAGTATCTACAACATGTATCACAGAAAGATTTAGCTAGACAGGAAAAAACTTTTGACAAAACAGCTGCGAAAAATGGAACAATTCATGTTATCACTGCTGATTTACAAGCAGTGAAATTATGTCCATACTTGAAAGCCAGTGCATTGTATTTTAAAACAAAACTGATGGTTCATAATTTTACAATATACAATCTTAGCACAAATAAAGTAAAGTGTTATTGGTTTGATGAAACAACAATTGATTTAAAGGCATCAACTTACGCGTCATTTTTTGTTGATTATTTAGATAAATTAATTGATGAATCCCCAAAAAGATTACATAATTTTTACTGATGGATGTACATCACAAAATAGAAATGCCATTGTTTCGAACGCACTTCTGCAATTGGCAATGCAAAAAAAAGTAGTTATCACACAAAAATTTTCTCCTCAAGTCTTTTATTCTATTAAACTATAACTACGATGACAGTTGATATTTTTTGAGTAGTTGAAATAGTTCTTATACTTCTTTGATATTTTTTTTAATTTTAATGTTAATGAGTAACAATTTTGTTAATTTATAATCATAAAGATTTATGAAGTTATTAAGATATACTTTTGTTAGATAGCTGAAGATGTTCTTTTATTGTTACGAGTTTATTTTATGATATTATTCTTAAAACCTGCTCTATTGTTTCTAATAAGGTAATTGAAAAGACTGTACAGGCTGAGTTAAAGGTAAGATTGAAGCAAACTGTTATTGAAATGTTGTTGTACTATCAATATTTATATTTTGAGAATATTTTTTTTTTTTTAATTAAGCTTGTAAGATATAAAGCTTTAAACAGATATTACAATTCATATTATCGTTTGATTATCATATATTAACAATTAATAATATTACTAGTTTGATTTCGGTACCGCATAACTTACTATATGGGGTACCATTTGTGTTTAAATCAAAGTGTTCTAGCGACTAAATTATTAACTATAACACCTAATAGCTATTATTGACAAAAAAAGAACATTAATAAAACTCTTTATGCCAAAATGAGCTCAAAATCTGTTTAGATAAAAAATATATACAGTTTTAACCTTCTCCTGTAAAGCTATTTGTAATGCAGATACGCGCTCCCTACCTGTAGTAGACCCATGGATTTGCACTATCCCTGATGATATATATATATACATATATATTATTATTATTGAGTGGTGTTGTATTCTGTTGGATTTAATACAGCAAGTGGAGTATTGTTAAAAAATGTCAACCCTATAACCCATCCTAAAAAAGATGTAATCTTTGCATAAATGAGAAATATTTTATTTCAACATACAATAAAGAACCTTTGTTAAATAAAAAAAGTGAATTGGTTTCAGCATGTAGGCACAGAAAAAAGTTTTTGCTATCGAATTTCGACACCGGTTAAATAAATTCCCATTTGGCGTGAAAACTGACGTTTGATCTCGTTGCAACGCAATTTTGTATTTTTATAACGGTTTTTATTTTAATGATTTTTAAATATATGGCTGAATAATTGCCGAATGGCATGAAACTTGAAGTCCCATAAAAAAGTCGTATTTTTTTCATTTAAATATTTAATATATATATATATATATATATATATATATATATATATATATATATATATATATATATATATATATATATATATATATATGTATGTATATATACACTCTTAAAAAAGTTCCGGTAAATTGACAGAAATTTCAGGCAAAATACCTGAACTACTTCGTGCCGTATGGAACCAGAGGAACATTCAGGTAAAATACCTGAACCTGAACTGTTTCAGGATTTCTACCTGAACCTGAACTGTTTCGGTTCCGGTATTATCCGGTATTATGTTCAGGTAAAACACCTAAACCTGAACCTGAACCAGTTCAGGTTCAGGTATTTTACCTGAATGTTCGTCTGGTTCCATACGGCACGAAGTAGTTCAGGTATTTTGCCTGAAAGAGTAAATATTCCAAATCGCGATTATAAACTAACTTGGTTTAAGCGTAAAAGCGGTATTAGTTTTTATTAGGCCTGAAGATAGTAAAAATTCAAAATCGTGATTATAAATTAACACGGTTTAGTTGTAAAAACGATATTTTATTTTCAGAAAGTCAATATATTTAAAAGTATAATTTATACAAATTTACGCAATATAGCAATAACAATGCATATAGCAAATAATAACCAAAATATAATTGTTTCTGCGTTTAAAATTGATTAAGTTTTTGTCTAAGGTAAAGGGACAAGTCACTCGCTCCTCTCGATAGATGCATTTCATCTTGGTAACCTAACACGGTATGCTGCAAAAAGTACAATATGTGGCTATATTGTTCCGCATACTCCATGTTCATTAAAAAATAAAGTTTAATTAAGATGTCAACAGCATAAGATATACATCTGTTGACAGGAATAGCTCGACACTCTGTAACAATAAATAATTATAA